TTCTTCAGCTAATTTCATCTGGACAGTGACTGCTCGAGCATGTTAGGTATCTAGAAACTTGAGAAACACCTTTCTCTGTGGGAAAGGCAGCCAATAAGGCTGGTGGAGCAAGAGCACAGGGGGTCCGGGAAGGCAAGTCCCTTCTCTCATACCCGCTCTGCTGCCACACAGCCACCCAGCCAACCTGCAGCAGCAGCTGCAGCCCGCGCTTTTCTGGTCTTTATTTCTCACCCATTCAGCTCTGGATGCTTGCTTTGTCTCTTTGACCAATTACGGGTTTTAAAAAATTTCATATTTTGGTTTGATTCGTATATGAATACACTGAAAATGAGGGCTGAAAGGTTATTATAAATCCCTGCATAATCTTTCACCGAGATAACCTGTTCTAATAAACTGACCACGTCACTGATTCCTCTATGGGCGATCCGTTCCTCTGGTGTGCGGATGAGACTATTTCTAAAGCGCGTGGCCGGGTGCGTGCTCACGCCGTGTAAATCTCAACACTTCTGGGAGCAAGGCAGGGAAATACCTGAGGCTCAGGAGTTCGAGACGAGCCTGACCACCATAGAGAAACCCCATCTGCTACTAAAATTACAAAATTAGCCGGCATGGTAGCGCATGCCTGTCATCCCAGCTACTCGGGAGGCTGAGGCAGGAGGAATTGCTTGAACGCCGGGGGGCTAACTCCAGATAACAAGAGTGAAACTCCATCTCAACAAAAAAAAAAACTACAAAAATTAGCTTGGCCGTCGGGTGTGCCGCCCTATATCCCAGCTACTCTGGAGCCTTTCCCTGATGCTGATGCTGACTCTGACACTGATGCTGGCCCTGACCCTGACGATGATGCTGACCCTGATGCTGATGCTGACTCTGACGCTGATGCTGGCCCTGACCCTGACGCTGATGCTGACCCTGATGCTGATGCTGACTCTGACGCTGATGCTGGCCCTGACCCTGACACTGATGCTGACCCTGATGCTGATGCTGACCCTGACCCTGATGCTGGCCCTGACCCTGATGCTGATGCTGACACTGATGCTGATGCTGACTCTGACGCTGATGCTGACCCTGATGCTGATGCTGACCCTGATGCTGACCCTGACACTGATGCTGACCCTGATGCTGATGCTGACTCTGAC